TTGGCGCCCGAAGGGCGCCCCGCGCCCGCGGGGTTCTTGGCGGTCGGCGTAGAGCATCGAGCAGGAAGTGGCAACCCAGTGGGGAGAGCAACGCGTCGGAACGCAGGGCGCCCGAAGGGCGCCCCGCTCTCGAAGGTCTATTTGGTCCACGAATGGGACGAATGGCGAGGTCGATCGCGGTCACGGATTGCGCCCCCGCCATCCGTGCCATTCGTGCCATTCGATCCATGCCATTCCAGACCTGGAACCCTTATAAACTGCTCTAAAATAAAATCGGAACTTTTCATCTTGCTTCAAAAGGACCGATCGAGGAGACTCCGAAAACGAAAATGTAAGTGGAAAGACTTCTGTTTTGGAAAGCAGATTACATATTTCAATCTAGTTACTGTTTGGTAGTCCCTCTGAGGCTACGGACGTTCGCCCGAGGATACAGGTCAAACTGTGGACGGCGAGCCGACTACAATCCTATCCTATCATATCTCCATTATTTCCAAAGTATGACGACTTCATCTTCGCTCACTCCACAACAGCAGGCAGCAGATCCCAACACCATGAAGAACATGGTCGCCGCAAGTGGAGCTGGGCCTGGCCCAGCATCCTCTTCATCGCCAGCGTCTAAAACTGGTGATATGCGGTCGTCTTCCAGTTTCATGGACCTCGTTCAGTGCGAGTTACGAGAATTAGGTGATCCTCGAGATGCCGTTTCTGCGGATGACGAACTCAGTCTCTCTGCCTCTCCTGCAGAAGCAGATCATAAGCGACCTCGGACACGCAGTAAGCGGATGCGGGTAACGAGTAAACAAGGAAGTGGGAATGGTGCTGGGGTTGGGGTTGTTCAGCATCATGTGAAATTATGGATTTGGATTCTTGGTGGAGGCAATAGATTTTCGTTTTCTGGAGCAGAGATTCGTTGTATCCAACGTTTCTTTACTTGTAAAAAAAAATTACATACCTCACGACTTCGACTTATCACGCCTGTATTGTTATCGGCCTCTAACTATCGAACAAAAAAGCAAAGACCACGTTAGTGCTCCGCCTCTTCTTTTTATGCTTCAACATGATCAGCATGACTTGCAACTTCCGGGTCAAGACAGCAGCAGTAGTCAAGATCCTGCAACCGAACAGGAGCAACAGCTTAGAAAGGAGCAAAGAGATGAGTGGATTCCAGCGGACTATGTCTCAGATTTTCGTGCCATCTCTCCTTCAGCGTCATCCTCCGTTTCATCCTTGCAACAAGTACCACCTCAACCTCATGGATCACGACCACCGCTTCGTGCGCCGCTGTTGTCGCTGCGAAATGATAGACTTTTTCACTTGTCTCTGCAGCAAGCGACGAATGAACGCGACAATTTTGATATTACCGGGAAGCAGAAGAACGTAGATGAAGTATCTTCGTATTTATTGAAGAACATGCAGGAGGGCGAGCGCGCTGCAATGATGATCGAAGAAAATATGGAAGATAACGATGTTTTGATGAAGAATATCAATGACCTGCTGAACAAGGAAAATCATGTGGATCTTCACGACCATAAGAAGTTGCTACCTTCATTCACCTTCGAAAACAACCCTATCGTCGATGTGTCACAACTGACCACCCCTGCTCCGGAGTCTCTTTTTGCGATTGAAAGTCCTGATTATGCGGCGCTTAGAAAAGGCTCCCAGGAGATATTGCATCAACGATCACGGAAAAATACAAAGAGCAAAATGCAGCTAAAGCAGGAATTATTGGATCCCCACAGTCGCGCGCAGGACGATCGGGAGGCACAAATAACAGCAGTACGTAGAAGTTCGGAAGCACTAGAATTAAGGGTTACCACATTGCATTCTTCACTACCATCCTTGACTTCTTCTCCAGTAGGTTTTAATGGGTCAGGGGTGATCTGAAGAATGCAATGTCGCAAGCTCTAATAGAAGCAGCTGCAGCAGCAACAGGACCAGATGTTGATATGATTCTACAGCAGTTTATGAAGGCAAAATCTCTAATCATTCTCAGCTTTCTCAAGTAGAAAAGAGCGATAATGATAATGGGTTTTGGATTCATGTCCTCACAACTAGGACAGATCGACGCCTTGAAGGAGGAGGACGCGGACCACAAAAAGGTGAACAAGCGGCCCTCTAGCACACTTGAGTGTCGAGTTCTTGATGAAGAAGAGGCGGCTGAAGTCTATGACAAGATCTTAGCAGACCTAGGAGAGGAAGGTGAAAAAAGCGTCGACCAGCAGAGCAGTCAAGATAAGGCCTCACTTAATCCATCTTAGGAAGATCTTGGAACCGTTTTCAAGGGGAAAACGGTCCCAGATGGATCTTTTCAAGGGGAAAACGGTCCCATGATGGTCCTCTTCCATTTATGGATCAGGACTAGGCTTAGGGTGGTTTTGAGCACTAATGATCAAAGTGTTGATCTTCACGACCTGCCAGCGCTGATTGAAGTAGACGGTCTCTATTTCAGGAATCATGCAGTTGACGCGGTGGATGGAGATGGTTCTGAAGTAGGAGATGCAGCAAGTAATTCCTTGTCGGGGGCATCGACGTATGATTGGATGGAGGAGGAGGAAGGATTTGTTCTTGCGGGAAACAGTAGTGCAGCGATTCCGACACCTAGAGAACCGTCAAGGACGGCTGAAGCTGTGCAATCTTTCCCACTGTTCGAAGGTCTCTATCGTAGTCAACTAAGCGGCACAGTAGTCACGCACGGCTCCTACGGAGATGGGCTCCTACGCGAATACACACAGCTGCAATCTTCAGTTGCAGCTATGGAAAAAGATCAGCTAGATCAAGGACAGATGAAATCATCAACATCGACATCTCTCGTCTCGAAGAAAGGAGTGAAACTTCCAGCTACGCAACCTCATCAGGCAGCCTGCTTGACCGAAGTTTTGCATGCTGAGTGGGCGAAGTTTCTACTGCGGGGTACAGGAGTCTTGTTAAGGGTACGGTCCTAAAGGTGTTCCCCCTGTGATAGCGTTTGCTCCTTTGGTGCCTCTTCATCTAAGGGACGAGAGAGGCAAAACAAACGGGAAGGATGAACACCAAGACCCTACCGCTAACCTTAGAAGAGTCGTCAGCTCAACAAGCATCTTCGCTTCCGCTGTTGCGAGGTCTACCGATGCATGCGAAGCTCGTTGAGCGAAGTTCCAGGAGAGACATGACAATGCCACTTCCTCTGCCAGAAGATAAGACTAAGGCTGTAGCTAATTCATCTTTGACTGCATGCTTGAAACGTCGTATGGGGGATTAATTATCATAGGGGAATACAACTCTCGTACACACTTTTCAAGGATGCTGCTGAAAGATGAACCTCGGAGAGCTCTAATAACAAGGAGCAAACAAAACGAGAGCGGCCAAGTGGAGAGGCTAGCACAACAGCAGGCAGCAGAAGTGGTTCGTCTGCTAGTGGGAAAGGTCGCGGCTTGCGTAGTAGACTTAGTGCAACCACAGCTATGGCCAGCTTTTATCCATCTTTCTCGGTATCTTGGCTCCCTTTTTTCCCTGCATTCTCATGAAATGCAAGGGGACAGGGGTCGAGATGAATAGAAGCGAATTCTAAATAGACAGAAAGATATGGTGCTCCGCGTAGAAACCCAACAAAACGAATCAAGGTACCACGAGGACGGAAAAGGGAAGGTACTACCTGTGACGACGACGAGTCTACAGAGGAGAAGAATGCTGAAGTGCTAGGAGAAGAAACACTAGCAGTAAATTAAGGCTCGAATCAACTCGATCATACAATTCTGTCAATTCTTCATTTTCAGCAGGGGTCATTTTCTTCGGGTTCGGTCCCATTCTTAGGACTCCGAAGAAATGAAACTGAAAGGAAGAAGTGAATTGTTTTGCGCTGATCTAACTAAAGGACGAGAATGAAGAAGGCAATCTCAATCTGCCGTCTTTCTTTTGTACCAAACAAGTGCTGACTTTTTGCGGGACGCGATCGAGATTCACAAAAGAGGAACTTAGTCGCATGGCGATGGCCGTCACCTTCATTCGTCGCACCTTCGCCGATGGGTCCGCAGTAGTGGATGCTCCAAGAGCGACGAGTTGTGAAGCATTTATATCTAAGGAGAACTGGAAACACGGGCTCAAAAGTTGCACTATTTTTTCACAGCTGCGTAAGTCTAAGGGCAGAGATGAAAATGGTTTTTATCCTTTTCATCAAAGTCCGATAGATCTGCGCACGCCCCGGGATCTTGCTGACGCAGTCAGCAGTGGAAGCTGGAACTTCGGAACGGAACCGTTTTTATCTCTACACAAGTTTCGCCAAAACTTGAAACCCTACCTCGAGTTTGTCAGTTCGCAACTCGAGCAATTGAGGGTGAAGAGGAAAACAGGGACAGCAGGCTTGTTGATGTTACAGCATCCGAACAAGTCCTCACGGTCGATTCAAAGCAGAGTAGAAGACCCAACATCACTACGACTAGTTCAATCTGGTGGAAAAGCAAATGAAACCACTACAGCTGATGCAATAGTTGTAGAAAAACCACAAGCACCAGGAGTTGCACCTGAACGACCTTTGAAGCATAAAACAGCCCTCTTTGGTCCAAAACTACTAAGTGAACAACTTACTGCGAGACCAGGAAAATTGGCTAAGAATGCGATGAAGAAAGACGAAAAATACATCATCAACATCGCCAAGTACATCCACACTCCTTGCAGTATTGTGCGTCAGTGTCAGGGCTGTGTTGTATTAAGGGTACAGATCAAAGGTGTTCCTGTTACCGTTTACTTTGCCTCTCCTAAGGGAGAAAGGCAGAAAAAACGGGAAACAGAAACACCAAAACCCTACCGCTAATTATAGTAGGTCCAACTGGCTTGTCTGCGATTGTCCATCCCTACTGGCGGAGACACATAGGCAAAGACCTCATCACGGAGGACGTTCGAAAGTCATTGCCAAAACTGTTTAACAAGAAGAAACAGAAAGAGACAGACATGAAAAAAATACAGGATAAGGATGACTCTTGCTCGTCCTCGAAGGAGACAAAAGCAGCTGCAAGAACTACTTCCGTTGGAGATGCTAGTACAACTACAAAAGAGAACGAGATGAACCCATCAACTTTTTCTGGTTCTGTTACGAGCACTTCTACAGCGAACAAGAAGGAGAACCAGAAGATCCCAGTGAACAACATGTCCCCGTCACTGAAAACTGCAAAGGCACTAGTATGTATGATGCCACTCATTGAGAACGAAGAGGAACAAGATATGGATTCGTCGCTCCACCTTCTATGTAAGATGAAGATGGCGAATTCCACAACTTCTAAGTAATATTCATATTGTCTCCTAGGTAAGGGTTATCGTTATGTTATGGACACACACGACATGACAAGAGGAACGACAAATCCATATCTCGACGCTCGCAATGAGTGGAAGCATTCATAGTATCGCGGATCGGGATGTTGAAGACGCGACGTGGCCTGCTGTCGATCATGTGGCAAGGAAAGACTCCAGGCGTAATGATCAGGGACCTTCAGTGCCAAAAGCGGAAAGCTTCCCCGGGAAAGAACAAGCGTAAGCGAGATGGAAAGACTACAAGAAGTAACATAGAGAAGAACGTGAAAGATGAAGATCGTGGTGCTGAGAAGCAGGGCGGAGAAAACCAGGAAGTGCTGGAGAAGCAGATTGACGAGACTCGAGAAGCGACGGAAAAGGAGACTGAGGAGGTCGAGGTTAAGAACGTGAAAACGAACAAGAATGGGAAGAAGAAAAAACTGCAGAGAAGCGTGAAGAAAAAAAAAAGGGAAGAAAAAGAGCAAGACGAGCAAAGTAACAGCGAAAACATGATAACACTGGAAAACGAAAACGAGCACTTCCTTTTACAGTTGAATCCTGTTGCGGGTGATGAGTTTGGGTCTTGGGCAATGACGCCAGGTAATCCAGAGCACTTGTCTACAGGAGCAACGCCATTTTTCCCTGACCAACTTCAAAGAGGAACTGCAACTTCTACCTTTGAAGATGAACCATCTTCTTCGAATCCTGATTTTCTTCCAGCTTTGCATGAACTTGTTGCACTCTATTCTTCATGGTGGCACGAAGAGGAAGAGACACAAGGAGAGACACAAGTTCAAGTGGTACATCCAGAAGCGGAAGGAGGTCTTAGGGTCCACACCCACGACAACAAAGGTGGCGCTGCAAAGCATGACAAGCAGACAAAAGAAACTACTTCTTTAGTTCAAAGAACCAAGGATGAGAGTCATCAACAGCTACAACAACAGGAGCAGCAACAGAATAGTCTTCATGGTTCATCATGGCCGAACATGAGTCCTTGCTCCTCAACGCCTATGCCAGCGACTGCAAGCCCGATTCCGGCGACGCCATTCCCAGATTGGGCAGCTAGTATGTCTCCTATGCAAATGCATTCGACTGCGTGGGTTCCCGTTCCGAACCAGCAGAGCATTCTGGGGACAGCAGGATTTCAAGTACCGGTAGCCGTTGTAACCAACAATGTTGAACAGACAGGGCACAACGTGGCTTGGTGGCCGGGAGCAGGAGGAGGCACCATTCATCCAATCGGCACTTCTACTAGTGTTGACTACAATGCTCACGCGACACCAAATTGGGGTACCGTACCAGATTCTCCAGATTTCGCCACTCAATACCTAGAAGCTGCAGTTGCATCTGGGAACATCAATAAGCCCATTCTGATTGGGTCTCCAGGTGCTTTCTCCACCTTCCTGTTGGACCAAGTACATCTACATGATGAACGAGCACAGTTGCAGCAAAGAAACGTGGCACAAGACGTCCAGAACAACTTCCAGTTAATTCAACTGCCATATGAAGCGAAAAACAAAAAGTGCACTCATACTCAACAAATTGGCTAGGGAGATTTAAGTAGGAAAGTACAAGTAGTCACTTTTTTATTTTTGAAAGTACTGTTAGCCACTTTTGGTTTTTTGAGTCGTGTGAGTGCACTCTTTCTTCTCTTCATATGCCGCGTGGCAGCTCGACTGGAGATTTCTATGACTTCGTTTTGAAGGGTTTGGAGGACGAGAAGAGATCCAGTTCTGAAGATTCAGCGACGAATTCAAGCGACTCGTCGGTCCAGAGGATGTTGTCAAGAGCATGGGAGAGTAACAGGACGAAAAGTTGTTCTTGTGTTGCAGCCTCCAGTCCTCCAGGTGGAGGCGTTTATCCTACGCCTACTCGTTAAGGCGACCAAGACCAAGAGAGCATCCTTAGCATCTATCATGGTTGGTCCCTTTTTCAAAGGGAAAAAGGGCACAGGGATGGTCTCAGGGATGCGACGCGGTAGCTCCAAACACAGCGCGGAGGCGGAGGCTACGGAGATTCCCCAGCTGCTCTTGATGCTTCGCCAGATCATGATGTGGGTGAAAACAACAACAAGAATAATAGTCCTCGAGAGCAAGTGCTTGGAGGACCTTCAGGTTCGCCAGATTCGCAATTTCTTTCTTTGCCTGCCTCACCAGAAGCGCAAGCTGCAGGCGCTGTCAAGGTTGAACAACAAGATGCTGTGAAAAAGCCAGCTGAGAGTGTTTATCCGTCAAAAACCACGACGCCTTCTCCAACATTTGCGAACATCATGATTGAAGATAACCAAAACAAGATTTTTTTTAATGAAGGTCCAGCGGAAGCTCTTGCAACTCCCGCCTCCCGGTCCCTTATCAACGCCGACCCTGCTAGTATTGTCGAAGCGCACCACCCTACTGCAGGCGAAGACACCGCTACAGAATCCGAAGCAAGAGAGGCCTACTTCAATAAAGTTCTCGCGAATCTCGAGGGGTTTTCACTCGATTATTTGAGAAGCGAGGTTTTCCGAGATTCCTCACGCTGGACAAATGAGGAGGACTTGCACGAAATACTAGATAACGCAAAGCGTTTACTGAAATCTTACATGATACATGAGGTTGCCCCGACTACAGAAGGTGAGGATGGGGGAAAGAAGAAGTCGAAGTCCTCTACTGGAGGCAGTCATGCGGGAGAGAGAAGCAGGAGAAAGAAGAAAAGTAGCAGTGGAGTTGGGACAGTGTCAGTATTAAGGTCAGCTTTTATCCATCTTTCTCGGCATCTCGGTACCATTTTCCCTTGTGTTCTCATGAAATGCAAGGTAAAAAAAGGGGTCAAGATGAGGGGGCCGAGATGCAATCTAGCAGACTCTAACAGTAACTAAGAATAGTATCGTAACGGAGTCTCCAGGAGCTGGATCGAACTTCTTCGTTGGCGCCTCACCTTTGCCTCTCACGGCGGTTCCGAGAACTACTACACTTGTTCCAGTTATAGATCAACATGCGTCCTTATATGATGGGATGCAAGCTGCACAGGGACAAGTAGGTCAAATACTTCACGTTCATCCGCAAGTACAAGTATCAACGCCTCTGCCAAGGAGGTCGCCACCTGGCCTGGACGAGCCTGAGGCAGTTCCTGACGCAGTACTAGAAGCAAATAAGAATCCATTAACTCTGGTTCAACAGACCGCTGCGCAGCCACATTCTTCTCCCCTAGTAGGAACACTGGGCGTCACTGGGAGTGTGATGACCAAAGAGTTCTTCAAACCGAGAATGCCAGTCGTGCAGTCACCGGGCGATGAGATTCAGAATGCCTTGTTGAATACTGTATCAGAGGAGAAAGAAGATGGACAAGAAGCTCAAGTCCAAGTGTTAGAAGCAGTAGAGACTCCGTCATTACAACAACTTCGCTCATCTTTGTCTCCTGTTCAGCATCCGGACAACTTCAACATCGCGCCTCCCGCACCAAACTGGAGTCCTCTAGTAGCATGGGCTGGCCTAGATGATGACGGGGAGAAAACAGAGGTAGAAGGAGATAGTAGGACAAACGAGAGCATCGCAGTGGGCGCAGACGCAGCTGAGCTCATTCGTTCGGCAAGAAGACAAGAAGATGAAGATACTGGTAAAGATGTGAGGACTTCTGTTCATCTTGTGGAGCCCAGCACTTCTCGTTCTCACGGTAATGTACAAACGCATCAAGAAGTGGAGCAGAACGGCACACCTCCTCAACAGCCACACAAGCATCAATGTCAAGAACCAGACTCGTCGCCTCTTTCATCTTCCTGGAGGCCTAATCCAGAGGCAGCATCATTCGTTCCGGCAACTACCCCTACACTTCTGGTGCCAACATCTGCTCATAATTCTTCCTATACATCAACTCTCCTACTTCACCCAGGACTAATGACGGGGACAGGTGTCTTTCCAGATCATCCAACTCCTGCTTTCGGCTACGCGGCTGTGCCAGTTTCGCAAGCTGCATTTGCTGGCGATTTCATGTGGCCTGCTCAACATAGTTGGGCTTGGGCTCAACAACATGGAGTGGGCCTGCCAGGCCCAGGTGTAGTAGACCAAGGCTTGTCGGATGTCCATGTCGCGCGAGCAGAACAACAAAATGAACGAAATTCTTCAGCACAAGAACTACAGCTAGAAGAAGTCCAAGGAGCGTCGGAGTTGCCCAGAACAGGCACCATGCTGGTTCAGCAAGATGTTCCTTCATCACCGATTATCAGTAGTGTGAATCCTTCTAGATCCGTGTCGAACACGACCCAAGTTGTACAACATGATTTTGTCCTCCGTACTCCTCCGCCACCGCCTACAACGGAAGAATTATTCGTGGATAAGAGCAATTGCAATGGAGAAGGTAACACAAGCGCGTACGACGATGCATTAGAACAAAAACAGAAAACTCAAGTTCAAGAGTTACTAGATGCGGAGCAGACGTCTTTTCGTCTATTACCGGAGAGACTAGACACACCAGATCCTCCAGAAGGAGTAGATGGCCAACTTCTAGAAGGAGGCATAGCAGGAGTGTCCTCATCTTCATTTGCTAGCGCAGCTTCAGCTGCTTGTTCCCCGACTTGTAGTCCTGACGTGCAGACTCTGAGGTGTTTGATGGAACGCTTCAGGGCTTTGAGGAGATTCGATTCTAAGGTGGGACCTAAGCTGAGACACCTGTGTGGCTTGCTAGATACAGCAGAGCGCTATTGCTTGGACCATATGCCACCGGGAAGGGAGGTCGTTATGAAGGAGGAGGTACTCATTTTGTTCTTCTGTAGCCAACAGATTATAGTTGCGTAAGTAGCCACAATTACGTTTTCAGTGATGTCACTCACAGTACAAATTCGTATTGATGATGAAGCTCATCGAAAACTAAATGTTGGGACCACGTTCTCTTCTACAAAAGAGAGCAAGAATAGATATGCTGTATCAACATTATCAAAATAACTCCAGTGTCAAATCAACTCCAGTGTCAAATGAACTCCAGGCTTCGATACACCAGTGGCCTAAAACCTCCCTGCAGGAGCGCAAAGACTATACCAAGCAAGAAGGTAAGGAAGCTCGCAGTAAATCATCATCATCATCATCGACTCGGCGTAATTCAAAGGGTCGCGGTAAGAGTAAGGGGGCAGCATCCTCGATGATCTCAAAGGGTCAACATGGTAAAGAAGAGGCAGCAACTGCAAAAGAACAAGCAACTGCGAACGTGAAGGGCCAAAAGCGTGGTCGTCAGGACAAGAGCTATGCTGTCGACTTGTCTTCCATCATCACAACCACGAAAGCCAAAAAAGGCAAGAAGAAAAACCTCCAAGACCCTGCTAGTGGTAGTGCACTGCAGATGAATAGAGCTGATGTAATTGAAGAACAAGAGCCGACGAACAAGGAGCTGCTTGCGATCACAAACAAGGTTGAAATTGAAGAGGGGAATCCACCTCCTTCTTCGAAGAAGGCTTCCAAAATGTCAAATACGTCACCACGACCACTTCCTAGAAAAATGAAGAAGATCGATTTCCTGATGAGCAGCGATACAAGTTCAAGCGCACCATCAGAGGATCTTCTTCAGAAAAAAAGAAGTAAAACGGGTACTGCGACTTTTACTACTTCCGTACAGAACAACAAGGATCTGAAAAATAACCAAAACAAGAAGGAAGTCAAATACTATGAAGAATTTCCCTCCTTAGGAGGAGTGAAAAAGCAAGAAGATGGACATGCAGACAAGCCGATTGCTGTTGAGGCACAACCACCAACTAGCGCCTTGTCCTGGGCAATGCGAGCGAAAGAAGCTTCCACCAAAAACACGATTACTGGAGCGAGCGACAATATATTCGACGGACCTACAACCAACACATTCTTCACCACGCCTCCATCTTCTACTCTTTTCCTGTCCAAATGGGCTGAACGTAACCTCTCTGTGCGACCTTGGATACTGCGTGAACTCAAGAAGATTCGCGAAGAAGCAGAAGGTTTAGCACAAGACACCGCTGGCCGTGAAAGTTTTTGTCAACAAGTAACGGGATTGATTCGAACTCTTGGTTTGCCGATTCATGGAGGAGCGGGAAAGGCGAAAGCAGTTTTGCAGTTGCAGTGATTTTCGCAACTTTGGTGCACATAAGGAAGAGATTTAGATTTTTGTACTTTCTGTATGAGCAGAAAGAGCAACTCAAAATTCCAAGAATAGCTAGAAGACTGGTGTTCGTGTTGTACTAACAAAAATGCGTTACTTTATTTTTTCAAGAATCCGTTTTACTTTTGCTTTTGGTTTTTTCATTTTCTTTTCCTACATCACTTGTTCCTAGAACGAGTGATTCCCTGTAATTTCTATAGATTCACTCTGTACACTATAGCCTCGGATAAGCATATGCATAAGACAGTTTTTATATTGAATTCGGTGTCGTTGCTCTCCTTTGGAGATACTACTTGACTGAAGAACGGCCTCATATGTACTAGATGCGAAATGCTACGATCGAGGTACCATACATGACAAGGCAACCAGGTTTAAGATTTGAGATCCATTGTGTAGGTTACCTGGGGTGTACAAAATCGGAGAAGTTACGACCACTTTTGGAACCAGCACAGTCCGCTTCTAGACGCGCGCGAACTACAAGATATCGGTGATATCTCGATTCTGCTCTTCAGGAGTGTGACCAATTATCACCATCTCCGTAGACTATGTACCATATAGATCGGTATTCATGATATTATCGGTAGTGAAGATTGACACTACTGCAATATCTGTTGGTGAGCAGTGCGAGATGATTACTAGGACTTTCGGTTGCGACAGAATCGGTCAAATAAAGCTGACTGAGCCCGTAGGATGTATCCCCCCGCTTTGCGAAAAAGCCCTTCTCTAAATGTCTTTTGCTCAACTATTTCTCGTTTCCTTTCTCGCCTTCAGAACGGACACGGCTTCTCTACTTGGGAAGTTGAATTTAGAACTAGTACTCTGGCCAAAAGTTCGCTACTAGATTTTTGATGTGCTACTACTTTGGCCTAATTTAGAACTACCAGAAACACACTTGCTGGTTTCCTTTCATGATTCATTGATGTACTTTTTGGCAGCAGCAGGTAGCATCGGTACTGAAATTAACGATGTATCTCGTCAACGCGCGCAGCGGTCCCAAACCTGCTAGCAGTCGGAAACCTGCTTCCACGAAATCTAGCCCCAGAACACCTAGTTCTGCGAGAAGCGATCGCACTCCGGCCAAGCCTCCGAATCACAAGAAGTCAACGAGTCATTCTGGCGCTCGTGTGTCCTCTCCAAAGCCATCTGCTAGTCGGAGTGCATCGCCTTCGCCAAGACCTTCTCCAAAAGCAGCTACAAGTAGGGCAGGAGGTAGTGGCCATTCAAGTACGATCTCGTCAGCAAGGGAAACACGTAGCAGGGACGCCGCTTCATCCACGACTAAAGCTCGGACAGCACATCATATTACGCATCACCACCCTAATACGCATACATCTCGTTCTCTAGATCAACAACACGCTGATAAACCTCATCGCCATCATGTCAATGTTGAGGGTGCTGGACGAGGTCCTGTTATTTTGCGGACGAATGCCGTTTATAGAGGAGGAGCAGAGCAAAAATCAACGAGAAATAGACACGTACTAAGCACAAGTGGTCATGGTCATGATCATCATAGTACAACTATGTGTCAAGGAGTTGATTTGGATGAACAGGTGAGCAGGAGTCGCAGTCCAGCACCAAAGAAGACTACAACTAGCAAGACCGGAGCACAACATGAAGATCCAGCTGGTACAACGAAGACTAGTTACCCAGCCACTGCAGCAAAATCTCCATCCTCTCAAAGTCCAGAAAGAACAAAAAGTAGCAGTAAAAGTTCGCAGAGGACGGCAACAGATGGAGGTCCGCACGAGGATAAGACATCCCATCATGATCAACATCATGTTCATCATGGTACTACTAGTACTAGTAATCATGATCGTCACCACAGGTATCATCATAGAAGTGCTAGTCCTCCCAAGACGTATGGCTACACGTTTGCAGGCACAAATCGCATCTACGACGTTGATTTTGATGCCTATTTTGATGACGAGGACGCCAAGCTGGAGACAACTGCGCTTTTTCTTCCCACAGCCAGAGCGAACCCACGGACAGGGAGACTAGCAACTCTCTCACCTCCACCACCGCTGCTTGGTCGTCCATTGTCGAAAAGCCCTATTCTGGAAAAGCCTGTGACAGCTGCGGAAAAACGACATGTGCAGAAGGAGATGCTGAAAAAAACAGGTGGTCGTGCTGGAGGAGGTGACGAGCAAGATCAAGATTTGGACAAAAATGTGATAGTGCCGCATGATCATGCTGATCAAATGCAAAGGCTAGATCAAGATCATGCATCTTCTAAAGTAGGAGGTGGCACCAGTGATTTGCAGAAGCTCCTAGGCGATGATGATGAACTAGATGAGTTATTGGATGAAGATTACGAAGCAGAAGAACTTGCTAGCTTGCAAGCACTACAAGGTGGAGCTACCAATTCTAGCACTGCTGCATTCCTGTGGCAGCCACCACGTGCTTTGCGAAGGTATTTGCGCGATTACGGGAAGTCCAATTTGAGGATGAATGCAGATGCAGATGGAGGATTTCCTAGTGGCGCTGCTGGCAGACTCAAATCTGGTAAGAGATCGGATCTGTTGAAAGCAATTGTGGCGCTTATGGAGGATTTTGCGAAGCATATCGAGACGTATTTGGTGCTGCGAGTTTTGAAGATTCCTGTCGCGATAGGTACGAGTGGTAGTGGTGCTCTAGCTGCTAAGGGCGACTCTTCAATGACAACCCTTGCAAAAGCCGATCATCAGCACCAACACGACCTCCGCCTTTGTCCAGAAGTGCGTCAATTTTTCAACATTTATTTCGAACTAGGTGCTACTGCTATGCGGAAGTACCTGTCTGAAATGCAGTCCGCTTTTGAGGAGGAAGAGCGTAGAACGGTCACGGGTGTGTTGGCGAGGTTTCAGAAAGGTCTCACGAAGAAGGAACATGCATTAGCAAAAGCTGTCGCCTTCAAAGTTGCTGCCAAGGACGCGGTGGAGAGACGCAAGACAGCAGCCGCAAGAGCAGAAGCAGCGAGACTGGAGGAGGAAGAAAGGAAAAAGAATGCAGAAAAAGGAAAGTTTTCAGCTAACGAGGAAGCAATTGCAAGGTTGTTGAATCCTGATGGTAGTGCTGACCCTGATGCTATAGATCCTGCTTCCGGAGTTGCGGATGGTCCGGCTACCAAAGAGATGTTGAGCACCTTAGCAACGATCTTGGTTCATAAACTAACTCAAAAATCCCGCGTAGTCAAAGAAGCAAGACTGCAGCAACGGCGAAACCTCTTGGCTGAAGCACATGAAGCACAGGACGAGGAAGATGACGGAGACGACGCGAATGTAGTGATGTTTTATCAGGAACAAGCTGAAGAAGATGAAGACGAAAACGATGATGGTGTTCTCTATGGTTGCGATGACGTCGAAATTTTCGACTATGACGATGAAGACAGCTTTTTCTTCGACGACAACGAAGACGATGTTGATGTTGAGGCTTGCAGTATGCCAGAACCTTCAGTAGAATCACCAGAAGTGCTAGAAAACAGCCTAGGAATGCTTCTTGACGACAACATCTTCGCAGATAGCCTTGCGTCTTCGCAACTGTCAACGTCAGCACACGAACTTCAAGAACATCATCATTACCAAGACACCTTCCATGCTCTCGACTCCTCAAGCTTCTTCTTCTACAACTCCTCTTCATCGTCGAAAACGCCACCGCCTTACCTCTTGCAGTACTTAGCTCGAAGTGGTGAACCAGGCTCTTTTGGTTGTATTCGGTATACGATCGAAGAGCCTGTTTCTTCCCTGGACGATCTAGGTATGCGATTCGACTGGTCCAAGTTCCCACGTGTCCGAATCAGCGAGGTCACACCTGGAAGTAGAGCAGAGAAAGAAAAAGTCGTTGCTGGAGATTACCTGTTGATGGTTGGCAGTGTGGAAGACCGCATCACCATGGTCGCTGCATGGAAAGGAGATAGTGCAGATGACGCAGTGATAAAACACTTGGAGGAACGTGGCAAAGTGGGCAAGGGTACAACGATAGGTGTTGGGCGGAAAAAATACGCAGATCGATATTTTCTGCAGATTGGTTTAGAAGGTCCTGAAGACGGCGCATCTTCTCTCCTAGGGCTGCAAGTTGAGAACGGCAAGGTCGCATCCATCACTCCAGGAAGTTTAGCTGATACCAAATACATGCTACAAAAAGACGATAGAATCGTCATGGCAGGTGACATTATGCGGGAGAAAGACGCGAAAGGGATAGATAAGAAGATCAGAGAGTTGGAAGAAGGTGGCTCATCCAGCAGTGAGCCACTGTCTATTTTGATGATGCGCAGTTCTGGCGATGGAATACCTGCAGAAATGCGAGAAAAACTAGGTGCAGATGAGACTCGACCTTTACCGAAGGGGTGGAGAAAGACGACTACTACGTCATCCACTTCGAATGTTCCAATCTCTAGTTCATCTGCTAGGACAGCAACAGGAGGCGGAACCGGAGGCATGTCCGGCAACCACACAGAACCTCGCGAAGCGCCTCCACCTTTTTTGTTGCAGGTTTTGGCGCGAAGCAAGCAACCTAAAGTCGTAGGATGTATCAAGTTCGCGGAGGCCACTCTAGATGACGATGCTCTATTCAACGAGGATAGCTCCAGTGTTTCTTCTCCATCTGACAAGCTTTTTGGAGTTCTTGGTCTACGCTTCGACTGGACAAAGTTTCCGTTAGTCCGCGTCTCCGAAGTCGACCCATCTAGTCGTAGTGCCAAAGAAGGTGTAGTTGTCGGAGATTTCCTGATTCTTATCGGCAGTCCCGAAGAGCGCGTAACACTGGTAGCGCAATGGGAAGGCGAAAGTCCAGACGACGCCATATTGCAGAAACTTCAGCGGAGACAGAAACGTGGAGAAAACCCGGTTCTGACAATGGCCTTTTCTAGGAGGAAGTACGCAGACAAGAACTTCATCCAGATCGAAATTCCTGGCGGAGTGGATCTTCTAGATGAAGATGGGGGTGGCGGTCTAGAAGTTGCGAATGGTAAAGTTGCTTCTGTGAAGCCAGGTTCTCTCGCAGACCAACAATTTTTCCTCCAAAAGGAGGATAGAATCGCCGTTGCAGACGACATTTACAGGGAAAAAGACCCAGCTGGAATCGATAAGAAGCTGAAAGAAATCAGCAGTAAAGGATCATCAGCGATGCTGCAGTTGTTGATTTTGCGCAGTACTAGTGAGGGAATACCTGAGAAGATGCGAGAACAAGCGGAAGTCAACGTTTTGCGTCCTTTGCCTAAGAAATGGGCTGCTGCGGTTGCTGCAAGTGGTTCAAGCGGAACCGATGACAACAAACGGTTTTCTTCGTCGAGTAAGGAGCAACAAGCTACAACGTCAGCAGTGAAAGCCTCTTCTTCTTCGTCTACATCTGCGTCTGGTCGAGCATCAGTTCTTGGTCCGCCGAAAGAACTGCGGCCGTTCATGTTGCAGTTCCTAGCTAGGTCAAAACAGCCATCGGCACTTGGCGTCATTCAATACTCTGAAAACGGACCTCTTCCTCCTGGGAATTCAATCGAAGACCTTCTTGGTGTGTCCCTCTCTTGGGACGATTTTCCTCTGGTCCGTGTCACGAGTGTCGACACCGATAGTAGATTAAGGGTAGGTTAAAGGTGCTTTTCTTACAGCTTTTTATGCCTCTCTCCCTTAGGATGAGAAAGGCATAACAAGCGGGGTAAGCGAGCACCAAAAGCCTACCTCTAAGTAGAGCTAAGAAAGAGCGTGTAGTAGCGGGTGACTACATGATCACGATCGGCGCCAAGGACGATCGCATCACGTTGGTCAGCCAATGGGCAGGTGCAAGTGCGGAGGATGCAGTAGTGCAGAAGCTGAGAAGCCGTGAGAAGCGTGGAGAAAAGCCATGCTTTACCGTGTCGTTTGCAAGGAAGAAGTACGCGGATAAGTACTTTCTGCAGATGGACATCGAACGGGGGCCTTCTTCCGGAAATGAAGTTAATAGAGCTAGAAGAAATCTCCCATTTTGAGCGGCATCTTCCGTCTTTTTTCCCTTGAGAAACGGGACCAAGATGCCTGTGAGGATGGGTTTCTTCTAGCCTTAATGAAGATTTAGGTGTCAAAGTCGAGAACGGCAAAGTCACTGCTGTCACACCAGGGAGCATCGCCGACAAGAAGTATCAACTGAAGAAGGATGATCGTGTCGTCGCTGCCCTTGATGTTTTCCGGGAAGAAAAGCCAACTGGGATTGACAAAAAGTTTACAGAACTTCTGGTGGAGAAGAAAATCGACGTTTTGCCGATGTTGATAATGCGAAGTTCAGAACCAGGCATCACTCCAGAAATGCGCAAGGACTTGGCGGTCAATACTCTAAGACCACTGCCTAGCAAGTGGAGGGAAGAAAAAGCGCGTCCTTACAACCATGCGTCTGGCGGTGGTGGTGGGAAGGCAACGGGCGCATCTTCCTCTGGTGCTAGAAGTTGTAATACCAGTGTAACAAGTGCTGGCAACAAAACCTCTACCTCAGCTGCTTCACCATCTCCCACGACCTCAAAAAGACGACCTCCACCAGGCACTATTCCATCCTATCTGATGCAGATGCTAGCACTGAGCAAACAGCCTGGGAATCTTGGCGTAATCCGGTACACTGTGGACGATGAGAGTCGTGAGTTTGATCATTCAACATCTTTGGACGTCGATTCTGGTGGATCTGGAGGACAAGATAGTCGAGAAAAACTTCACAAAGTCCTTGGTTTAACGTTCGACTGGGATGAATTTCCCATCGTCCGCGTGTCTCAAGTTGACGAGGGCAGTCGTGCTGAGAAGGAAAAAGTAGTAGTAGGCGATTGGCTTTTGCTGTTTGGCGGATCACAAGACAGGATAACGCTTGCTGCGACGTGGGAGGGCAAGAACCCCGATGATTCATTGTTCAGGAAGTTGAAACGGAAGGTGGACAGGAAGGACAAACCGGCATTGACAATCGCTTTTGCTAGGAAGAAATACGCTGAGAAGTACTGGTTGCAGATGGGCTTGACAAGTGCTGGTATAGAAGTAGGATCATCGTCGCAGAGTGGCAGTTCAGATAGTCTGGTGGAGAACGTGCTAGGCCTAAGCCTCCAATCCGGTAAAGTCGCTTCGGTTACGCCAGGCAGCATCGCTGACACAACTTACATGCTGAAGAAAGACGATAGAGTCGCAGTTTGTGGCGATATCATGCGCGAGAAGGATGCGAAAGGGATTGATACTAAGATATCGGAGTATGTCAAGAAACTCCAAAGTGCTGCTGTAAAACCAAACGAAGCGCCACTCCAGCTGTTGATTCTTCGTAGTTCTGGGGAGGGTATTCCATCGGAGATGCGTGAGAAGTTGCAATCAGATGTGATAAGACCTTTCCCATCTCAGTGGGCGTCGGCTTCTGGAGGTACTGGAGGTTCAGGTTCTGTGAGAAGTCCTGGAGATGTTGGTTCAGAAAGATCTGCAGCTCTAGCTGGTTCACCTGGAGCATCAGAGCTATCAAATTCGAGTACAGCTACAGCCAGATCGCTTACTCCAGGCCCTGATGGCGCAATAGTCCTCCTAACACCCACAAGTCAGGATGCGCCTGTGATCAGCTTGATTGCACCACCTGAGGGGAATGTGAATGCTCTGGAGGTTTTGTCAGCCAAGCACGGAGCTGGAAAGCCGAAACCAAAAGCACGTCAATACCTTTTGCCTCTGCTAGCGAGTTCGAAATCTTATGACAAGGTCGGTGTAGTCGGTTGGGAACTAGACACGTCGAGTTTGGGTTCAGAATTGAAGACGATGAATAGCAGGATAGCTGAGATAGAACAAGTAGGACATCAAATGGGTAATCAGGATCAGCCACGACTGGCAGCGACACAACACCTCCATGGAGAGCAGGAAGTCACGCAACTGGTTGAGAAAACTTTTCTCAATGTGACTGGCGTTCTCCTCGACTGGAGTGAATTTCCGATCGTCAAGGTGAAGGACGTTAAAGGCAACAGTCAGGCTGCAAGACGGGAACTACAAGCTGGTGACATTCTGATAGTCGCTTGCGGTATGCGCATCACGATGGTGGCGCAGATGAAGGGCAGAGACCCTAATTTCGCAGTTTTACACCAGATGCAGAAAATGCATCCGAAGAAACCAACCTTGATCTTCCTGCGCGCCAAATACCAAAACGAATACTTGCAGAGTGATTTGAGTTACCCTCTCGAAGAACGCGAACAGCAAGGGAACAATGGTGGTGCTACGACTAATCGTCCTTGTTCTGGAGGATCTGGGTTGTCGGAGGATGATAGTTTGCGACGTGCAGGGAGTGGTTCTGGAAGTGGGTTGGTTCTTGTGAGGAATATTCCTCCAGCTGGAGCATGCATGACTACAACATGGGCATCCACTATTGGCCTTACGGCTGGAGATACGCTGGTCGTCTATGGCGACAAGCTCTGCGAAAAGGACAAATACCACGACGAAATCCTGAAAGACTTGTCGAAAACATCTGCTTCCGCCTCGGAAGCAGCTGCGTCGCAGTCTAGACCAGTTTTGTTTCGACGTGTAGGCGGCTTTCCAGCTTCAGTATTGGAGAAAGGAAAAGTTGATGTCTCACGGGATATGCCCAGTGGGTGGCGTGACAAGCTCTTTCCACAAGAGACTGCAGTGCTGAAATTGCCGAAAAAACAGTCCAAAGGCCCACCAAGGTTTACCCACAGAGTCAACATGGACGAAGATAATCCGAATGCTACACCTCTGTATCTGCCTGTCGGACATGCTTCTCTTGCTGTGAGCGAAGAACAGCAGAAGAAATTAGCGAAGTTGGCGCAAAAGAAGGGTCGTGATAATCGGTTTAAGACTGCGGTTCACGGCATGGTGGCTTTCGATTTGGCGTCTAGAATAGCAGCAGATGCGGAAACGTCTTCCGAAGAAGAAAAGCACGGGACTCAAGATCAGGCGCTAGCCCTTGGTTCTCCTAGAACGATAGCGCAGAGAAAAGCATTTTTGAAGCTAATCTTTGGGGGAGGACAACACGACGAGCGGCATGAGGATGACAAGACCACTTCCGCTGCTTCAGCCACGTCTAAAGAGCAGGACGACCAAGCTACTAGGGAAACGACCACTTCTACTATCGATGATCTCCACATCGCTTCTGAACTAGACAAATGGGCTGACGTATGTCTTCGAGAACTAGTAAGTGTGGAACATTTTTTCGGATCCTTCAACTTTTTGTCTCTTCTCTGGCGTGAAACAGCAAGTCTGGGACCTCTGTTTCACGTAGACGAAGTCCTACGGTCTTTAGTCTTGTTGCAGATGCAGGAGTTGATGAGTACTTCGGGAACAAGTGCTATGAAAACATCAATCTCGGCTTCCAGTACTAGCTCAAGTAAAACTGCGCAGTCCTTCACCACCTTGCTAGCAAGTGCCAATGCCAGAGAAAAAAGTGGGGCTTTTGCGATTTTTACCTCTTTCGAACGGTTGGACGGAAATGCACCCGGGGCCTTGGTTGAGAAGAAGAAAGACAAGCTTGCCGCTTACAAAAAGAAGAGAAAAGATAAGAACATATGGAGTACTAGTCCAGGTTCTCTGAGTCTTCAGGGCTTGATGGATGACCCTTCCATGAGTCATCCTTTTTCTCCAACCGGAACCGAGAACAACAACATCAAGAAGGAGGATGTAGCCTCGCTAGCACAGCCAATTCACTTAGTAAATCACTGCTATCTGTACACGGCGAAAGCGAGTGGCAGCAGTACAACTGTTTCTTCAGCGTCAGCAGGACCAGTGAAGGTTCCGACAAGTAGAGTGACTTCTCCTACTTCACAGGCGAGTCCTAGTAAACCAAGTGCTGCACCAGTTGCCATGAAAATGAGAACGAGAAACGCTAAATCTCATCATCTCCACAGTCAAGGCCATATGTTCACGCATCTAAAGAAGCTAGGTCCCGGCTCTACGTCCACGTACGCTAGAACCCTAGAAGCCTTGGCCCAGAGTAAGGATGAAAGATTATTTGACATCTTCATGCGTAATGCTTCCGATGATGGGGTTGGGTTGCTGTCTTCGAAACGAATCAATAATGTGAAGGGACGAGGAGAGCCTGGACTTTCTTCTAGTAGTTCTTCTTCTTCGGATCATAAGGAAGCTGTTGCAGCAGCAAATTTGGCGAGACTAGGGCAGCTGTTTTCGTCAGCGGCAAGCAGAAGAGTGCAAGGTGATAGCCTAGACGATCAAGATGGAGAAGATGAAACATCTCATTATAGGCCGAGTGTTGTCAAAGAAGTTGACGATCTTCATGCAACCGGAGGAGCTAAAACATCGCATTCGTCCCTGTTTTTCAATCGCAAAATCAAGACTGCGACGAAGATGCTCGAGAAGTTAAAGATGTTGGAAAGTGCAGGTATGCATGCTAGAAGAGAACACCAGAATCGCATCATGCAGCAAGGTGAATCTACTACTACAACTAAGATGTTGCGGCCACCGGGTGCCCTAGATGATGCTTGGCTACGCCAGTTGGTCTCCTCAGTGCAGGAGGAAAGCATGCACCCCTCGAGAATCGAACAAGCAGCTTTAGAATTAGTTAAAACTACTTCTGGAGTTGTTGGCGACCATGAAGTAGATCTGGAACTGGAAGTTTTGGATGACGAGGAAGCTCATGAGATGATGGCGGGTGCCTCTCCAAGCGCGCCTAGTCGCAAAGCAACAAGATCAACCAGTGCAGGCCAACAGGAAGCTGGCACAACAACAACTCTGTCTCAACAGACAGGAGTAGAAGAATCTGCTACAACGGTACGAAGAGCAAGGCGAAACCTCCGTTTTTTAGCGAAAAAGGACTTGAGCCTGCGCAGTGTATTGTCGCAGACATGGCGCAAACTACAACGAAGTCTGGAGAATGAGTTAGGGATTGTAAGTGGAGAAACTGCTACCTCTACTCCCGGACAAGGCTATTTGTCGGCGAATTTTTCCCGTTTCAATCTACTGAACAAAACATCGGGTTTGATGATGTCCTCAATGCAAATACAACACGGACCATTTGACCACCTGTTGGATGTGGACGAGAGTGCGATTGGAGGTGGTGGACATCGTCTAGATCTACTAGGTGCACATCGGCTTCAGCATCACAGTGCTGGAAATGGAATCGGAATGAACGAGGCCGTTGTTGAGTTAGTAACGGCACCACGGCAGCATATTCAAGTGCCATATCTGAAGCCTGATCGGTTACAACTAGATGAAGAACGGTTGTTGTCTGCGAGATTGGACTTGTTGTCGAAATCGCCAGCAATTCGAGGTGAAGTAACCGCTTTGCGGGCGGCTCATACAGCGGGTGGGAGTAGCGGCAGTACTAGTAAAAAACCAATATTGATAGTGGAAAGCGAAACTACAATTGAGCAGGGGAAGAATGACCACGCAGAAGATATGCACAGCCCTTCAGATGCTGCGGCTGCTACTTCCACTTCACCTAGGATGAACAAATCGCCAAGAGGAGGAGACGGAAGTCCTGCAAGTGCTGCGCAAGAACGAGGAATATACAGAAGTCCTAGGAGTCCTGCAAAAAGACCTGTACCAGAGGAAGATCAGGATGATAGCCGCGTCAGTACTAGCGAACAGCAGCAGGATGGAGATGAAAGTGAGACCTTCCGTCAAAAGCATCCCTTGCAGCGACGTTACCAAGAAGCAATCGTTGCAGGTGAGGCTGATTTGGCGGTGGCTTATCAGAAGAAAATTGAGAAGGATTTAGCAGCATTTGTGAAGAAGAAAAGACAAAATCAACGAAGAACATGATGACTGTCAACACCTGTACTAGTTTTTTTCCTGTAAAAGTAGATATATACTGTGATTTATGTTCAGCGTGATAAGGAAAAGTGGAGTACGCGGCACGCCAGGGCGCCTGGTTCTGGTTCAGATCTCGACTTTGGCTTCCGATCTCTGCAGCAAATAGTTGTAGAACGATCCAAAAAAAGAGTTAATGCAGATGATATCAATAAACGACCACAAGATAGAGATTATAGACATAGTGCAGCTGCATGGTAGAACTTTATTTGTAGCTTGCGCTTTCATGTTCGTTGGATCGTCACAATCTTAATAACCAACAAAAAAAACATAAACAAGTAAGACATGTCCTGAGCCTCATCCGCTTCGTGATCGTCACATGGCCCCACTGGACGCCAGCGCGGAGCCATAGGGAGAGATGTTGGGCCCTACAGGAGGGCCGGATGCTATGAGGAGACGTACACGCGGAAGGAAGCTGATACAGGTATCAACTTCGTCAAACTTCGAACCGACTTCATCGCAGGCTCTTTTCTGCCGATGGCGGAGAACAAAAAAGACCTCGCAGAAGCTGCTTTCAATATGCTCGGGAAATACCTCAGGAAACAGCCGATGTACAAAAAAGCAGCGATGGACCCAGAAGGCAGGCGCGCTAACCTGACTGCGAAAATCTATTTCCACGTGTACCCAACGAGCGCCACAACCACGAGAATTGGGATCATCGAACGAACAACAATGGCGGTGCGCGTGCGAAAGACGTCCCTGCGAAAGTATACGGATTAACTGCTCCATCGACGATAAGGATGTCGTACTCGACTTTAATGAATGTAGGCGCAGCTTGGCGTAATGGTCAATGAGTCGCTTCTTAGAATCGTGCCTCCTGCAAACAACGCTAGAGGCATGGAAGGACGAGTTGGTTACGGCGACAAGAAATGCATCTTAAGAGGCATCTTGTTCCCGTTTTTAATGATGAAGATCTTAGATGGATTTCTCTTGGTCCTAACTTAGGTTTGAAATATTTCAAAGGACCTCGTACTCGAAAAAGCATCGCGTGCGGCGTTTGACTATTGAGAGTATACTTGAGATCTTGCTCTGGATGTGGTAAAATTTTGTGACTGATGCTTCTATTGTCATTGTTCACTCGATATTTGGATTAAGACAGAGAGTTGAGCTTTTCTCAGAACTTCTGAACCGGGTTTAATATCCCGTACACGACCATCCTTCGCGGCATTCTCCTTTATCAATTCTGGCGCCCATGATTTTCTTCGACAGATAACTCATCTCATGATCCTGCCGACGAAGAGTGGCTTGCGCCTCATCTGCAGAGGCACATATTCGTATTCCCTCAGAGCTTTCCCGATCCTGAGGTTTCCTGATCATGAGGTTCATTCACCGTGCATTTATCCATGGCAAGGGCCTTGAGCGGGTCTAACGAATGTGTGAAAGGCGAGCGGCACCTGTGGCACTAATGGGAAGAATGTTGACAGTCCACCAATGCTGTGCTTGTTTACGACTCTTGCACCAGCACTCAAGCGATTCCCAGAAGATCCTGCCTAAAACGGATTCCCAGATTGCTCGCATCCGCCTAAAACGATGCATCAATCTGTTTGGTGTCTACGTCGGCGAAGACCTTTCCTGAAGAATCATTCCTGGAGATATGTCACCAAAGGTCCACCCAGAGCATGAACTTTTCTTGTGGAACATGTGACGTTGATGACGAAGATCGATAAAATAGAACGAAGTTACAATACAAAAATGCACTCGAAGCAGAGGACTTTCGCAGAACTGAAAATGTCATGTATTTATGTGTCTTTCCACCTCCTTGTGTGTCTTTCCACCCTCCTTTTGCCAGTAACGCATTTCCACGATTGAAACCCGCGTTGAATGGTTGCCAATAAATGCACTACGATACACCTAAGAATAAGATGAAGATGTGAATTCTCCTCCAACTTCTTTCTAAGAAGTAGGCTCTTGGCCAGCGTCTGCGACATGTGTTGGAGATGGCTGGATCGTGTTTCTTGTTTCTGGCTTCGGTTGTGACCACTCATCAAGACGGAAGAAAAAAGTCGGTTTGTAGTTTGAGATACGCGCTGGAGGCAAGACTGATACGGAGTGTGTGAGTTTATTTTCGCAGCCAGTCGGTCAGTCCATGAGTAGTATCATGGTTTTTCTTGTCGTGATTGTGGATTTCTTTATAGACAAGAATATATAACACCACATCCCGTCGCCGTTCAGAGTAAAAACAAAGAAGATGTTGCTGCTTTCAAGATAAAAAATATTGAATCTCAGAGAATATACTAGAGGAAATCGACATCACCATCATGAGCAAAATAAACATGTTGCCCACTATTTGTCCACTGACTATGATAATCATGCTGCCTCGTCTCTTGCATCGACGTTTCTCGTTCGCTATTCTAGTCTTTCACCTCCTAACGGGACAGACGACAGAAGCGGTATGGTATCGCTCAGTTTGTGGCAGGTGTCGAAGAATCGGCAGTAGGGAAGACGTACACTCAGTACAGCAAGAGCCAGTTGTTAAGGCTGTACCTAATACATCTTTGGACGTATCCTTGAAACGTATGGAGGAGTATCTATCCTAAGGGAATGCTCCCACATACTCTTCATGGATGCACTTTAAAGATGAATTACGGACAGCTCTAAAGTTGCTCCTCAGATGAATGAGGATGAGGATGATGTTGAAAAAGTAGTTCAAGATGCTGGAAAGAGACGAAGCACTGCTGGAGGAGACATTCCTCGTCGACACACGGAAGATGAACTACAAGCGGCGTTTCAGGAGGTCAAGGAACCTCCAGACGTCGACGTCGATGTGGATGGTCAGGAAGTTGAGAAGCATTCGTCATCCTCAAGAAGGGTTTTTAGGGTTCGTCCGACTCAGACAGAGGAAAGGAATTGGAACTCTCTCATTAAACGAGAGCAGGAAGGAGCGGCTACTAGTTTTTAAGGGTCGAGTGCTTATCGTCCAGCGGATAACAATAACGTTATAGAATCATTCGTATTAGTAGATAGAAACTTTAAGTTTGTACTTTAAAGAGTCGCTTCCATCAAGCATGCGGTATACAACTTGACAGACTGAAAAAGAGTATTGTGCTTTTCTAACACACAGGCGAAGTCGTGTCAGGAGCAGAAGATGCTCATCCTGAGTCGACAGTTAAGTCAAAGTCTGCTTCGCAGTCTCAGGCACAGAACAACGAGTCTCAGGCATGTCCTAAAAGCCGTTGGTGCAGATGGTCTTCTATGCCGCGTCGCGTCGTTCCTAATGACTTTTCTTCAGGAGAGTCGAGTAGTTCTGGTCTGGCTTCTGTCGTAGAGGGAAACGTGATTTCGGAACCTGCTCAGATGGATCGTCGAGCAGTGCCTGGTAAAAGTAGTAGACTCTTTGCATCATCAGCAAGTTCGAGTACAAGCACAGCTACTATCGCAACGTCTGCTGGTGCGATTGGTAGTGCAAGTGTACGTGGTGCAAATGGGGTAAGAAATCCGTTCAGAGCCACGACTAAGAGTTCTAACACCACGTCAACAAGAACTGAGAATGTACTGTTAAAGGTTACGACTTTGGAAGACACGGCGATGCTCGGTACGACTAGTCCTAGTGGGCGTCGTCCTATCAGACTTGGTGGTCGCGGTACAGCTGGTGGTGGATCTGGCCCTAAAGTGCATCCTAGCATTGCAGGAGTAGCATCAGCATCAACCTCAAACATGCCTATTGTTGGTTCCTCAGTAAATCATGCTGTGAACTCTCCTCGTCTCATCAACATGGGAAGTCGAGGAGATGGCTTTTACCGGAAGATCGAGTTTCTGCTTCCTCCTTCTAGAAGTGCACATGGTGGAGCCACTGGAATAGAAAATGCGAGGACAACAGTTATGTTGAATGACGAATCTTCCCGAAGTCGAGTCGGCACTTCTTAGTTTAGCTTGGAGGACACTCTTTCTCATCTCATGATCAAGCCTTTTCTTACAGCTATTCAACGTCATTAGGATCAGGTACAGCAGGCGTTAATATAACGAAGTACAGCACTTCCACTTCGACAACGTCATGAGAGGTAGACTCAAAAATATTTCAGATAAACTTTTAGAAGATGAATATTTTCGTCTAATAGAGCGATTGCAGAAGCGCCAACTGCTAGTACAGTATCAAGGGAACTGCCATACGTCTACAGCAGTGAGCGTTCGCAAGACGGAGGCTCCTCTTCCTCCTGCGAACCTCTAGCACCATCAGACGACATCGAAGCTCCGCTCTACCAAGCTGCGGAGGAAGCAAGGCGCGGAATGGGGGTTGATGCAATGAAGAAGTCTACTGGTGCGAAAAGGAGTAAAAGAAGTGATATTAGTCGTACGAGTAGGTCCACGAAAGATCAGGTTGCTGAGGAACATCAGGGACAGGGTAAGGAGCCTAAGAATAAGGAGGGTAGTAGCCTAAACGTAGGTCTAGGACTAGGCATTGCTGGTACGACAACGAAAGCGGATTCATCGCCTAGAAAACACCAGCCTCAATCGCATGAGCATGCTGATGCTTCGCCTGGTCGACAAGGTTCACAACAACATGCTAGTGGTCCAAGTAGTTGTTTCTCAGCGGCTTCTCCCAGTCCCAGCTGTAGTTCTGTTCCGGCAGCGCCTTTCCGCGATCCCCAACAACCTAGAGGCCGACCAGCAGACCCTAGCGTTACGGAAGAAGCACAACGTCTTTTCTCAGCGGGGTTTGGAAGCGGAAGCTGCGCAAATGAAAGTTGTGTAGAGGGTAGAGGCCGACCAGCAGACCCAGAAGGAACACCGAGACTGCTGGAGCCTTCGCTGTTCGCAAGTGGAGGAAGCTCTTCCACCGCGAGAGCATTAAATACTGACCAGAAACTTCTCCATTACCCAAACTTCCCAAGCGGAAGAACGGCGAGTAAGAACAGACGACTCGTGACAGGTAGCCAAGTCCAACAAGCATCAAAAACACAACAAGCTGCATCTTCGTCGACCACCTCGATCAGCAAGAAGCACAATTCTTCATTCGAGATCACATCCCGACCAGCGGAACATTCTTGTTCGGAGCAGACTAGTACAAGCACAAAAGCAGTTGCAGGAGATTGTAGTAGCTCCACAACATCACAGGTCGATACGCTAGCACCAGGAGTGTCGGGATTCATTATAGAACGAACACCGCCGAACAGGAACTACAGGTTTACTACAGAAGTAGACGAAAGAAATAGAAACCCTTCGATCAGGAACAGGTTTACTGCAGAAGTAGACGAAAGAAATAGAAACCCTTCGATCAGGAACAGGTTTACTACAGAAGTAGACGAAAGAAGTACAACAACATCCTCGATGCGTCCAAGTCGTGGCACATTGAAGTCTATGTCTCTCTCTTCTCGTTCTGATGTCGGAGATTTGTTTCCTACAGAAGAGGATTTGATTTCGATGCGTCCGACTGATGATGACAAGAAAAGTTTTCGTGTTGAAGATCAAGAGCGACATTCCTTCTTTGAAGAACGTGGCATTGATGTCGCTGTTGATCCTGGAAAGCATCATAATGATACTAATGATACTAGTAGGTTGGGCGCAACTCCTCCGGTTACGTCTAGTACGACTACATTGCATGATCATGAACAAATGAACAGAACAAAACTAGTGCACGACACGCCTCCAGCTGCTGTGTCCTCCAGGTTGTTAAAAGACGAATGGCGTGCTTCTCTCGGAGGTGATGACGTCAGTATAACACCCGAACATCAAAACAACCTCTTGCACGATATTGGCTGTGGTGATGGTCGTAGTGATGGAGATAGAACGCTAACACGAACAACAACAGAAGTAGAAGTGCGAGAGTTTCTACAGGACAGTTATGATTTGGGCACAGCAGTCCCAGTCGGAGAGCAGGGAGAACGAGAAATTACGGAAACTACAAGCTCAGCAGGCATACCTGTTTTACAACGATCCGACTCTTGTGCTAGCTCATCTATCGAGACAATAATCCGAAGATTCGAAGCAGTGTCAATGTCATCAAGACGGCCTAGGGTATCTTCTGAAGATATTGACGTCCTTCTTGTTGCTCCGCGAGTCGTCGACACAATGGAAAAATGTTTGCCCTACGACCAATCACCATCGCGCGATGAAAGAGCAGAAGTACTACTACATGAAGGTCTAGTAAGCGAGCAGCATGTTCTTCTACAAAGCGATAAGAAAAGCGCTTCACCTGCTGGCTCATCAGAAGTTCCACCCGAAGTTCTACGTGCACGACAAGCTGTGGACGAACGTGCTCTGCCTGCTGCTAGTCTTTCTGCCGTTGTATTTTCTCCCAGTGCAGCACATTGTCCCCTCAGCTGCTCATCATCATCTTCTTCTTCGTGTTCAAGACCACCAGCACTTACAACTGTTCTACCTGGAATAGATCAGCAGGCTAAAGATCAGCAGGCAGCAGGCAAAGATGAAGATATCATAGAAGATTTATTACATCATACTAATATGTTGACTACGTGGTCTTTATCTTCTGCAATATCATCTTCTGCAAGAAGTAGGACGAACCAGCAGAAGATTTCTGAAGAGGAACGAAGACAGATCAGTACTGGAAGACCTATACAAAGTACTTCAATTTCGAAGATTTACTCGCCACGCGACCTGCCGAGGAAAGCCCGTTTTCGAGATACTCCTTATTTGTTACCTTTTGCACTGTCAACGATCGAAGATGCCATGGAGGCAGCACAGTCTCCGACTAAGGCGCAGCAAGTCTACGATGCCATCATATCTGGAGGACTTTACTGGCTACAGATTCCAACTAAAACCCTGATTCTCTGGGCAGTGCATCTTCATCAATCGCAAAAAAGATCGAGACTCCAACGGCAGCGTCAGCACTCCAACTCGTCGTCATCAAGCTCTTTGCTTGACGACCTCTTGTCTCCTACCCTGTGTGCTATGCCTTCATCACAGAAAGGCATCAGCAGAGCTGCAAAGACACAGAAAGCAACTCAGCAGTGGTTGAACTCACTTGTAATCGAGACGATTTCACCCGCTGCAAATGGAACTACATCGGAGGCAGCTGCTACATCAAGTACTGCGGCTTCCGGTTGTCGTACATCGCCTGCTGGTTCGAGAACCTCGACTAATAATTTGTCTGCTCTGCGATCGCAAATTAGTCGACGTGCTTCCAAAAAGCGCAGACGCAGTCCTTTGATTCTTGGGAGTTTGTTGGATTCGCGTCGCGGCTTACGATTGGAGAACATCACCGAGGGAGATGAAGGCGAAGGTGAAGGAGATGTAGAAGATAAAGATCATGTTGCTAACGATATGAACACGGACTACACAGATAGCGACATTCTGTCTGAACAAGATCAGTGCGTCATGGTGCGGGAAGATAACAACGAAGATGGATTACAAGTTAGAGCAAATGGAAACCACTCTTCAAGTCCCATTTTTGGTTATGTTGATGACATCCGTCATGAGCAGCAGGTGGAGGATCTACTTGATGTCGATGGTGGAGGTGATCTGAAGTCGTCACCAGCAGAAGAAGGTATCACTTCGCAAGAAAATGGCTTCGTGGCAGTTGAAGTTGATGAAGACCCCCCACTTTCATCTTCTGTCGGAAGTGATCTCCAAGGCGAAGCTTCCCAGAATGGAACACTCGCAAGGAATGGAACCACTCCACGACAGGTACTTGGTTCCTGGTTTCTACCTCGTCGAGCGACAATCTTTTCATCATCCGGAAGTATTTTCAACGGGAGGAAAACTACTTCTTCTAATACGCCGAGCAATCATGATGATGTTAGGACATCAAAATCTACAACTTCGTCACCGAAGATATTAAACATCAGAGAGAAGAAGAGCAACAACCAAGTGCTTCATCTGCCAGAAGAAGATGACACAATAAAGAAGAACACTTCTTCTACGTCGACGACTACGGATGAAGAGCGCGCCTCTTCTTCACTCTCTACTTCGAACAAAAAGCCCCAGGAACAACAGGCATTCGACCTTCCTCCTTCACACGACTCTCGTAAAAATCTTACATCACAACCTCCATTAACATCAAGTGCACAACCATCAACGTCAGACTCATCAACCTCAAAGCACAACGACCGCATGATGAGGCAGCGGATGTGTGCAAGTCCTCTGGTCATCCTCATCGACGCATGTGATCACGACGGAAACACGATGCTCCACGCCTTAGCACGTGCAGGGATCTGGAAGAGTTGTGCTTTTTTAGCCAAATGTGGTGCTGATGTCGACTGCGTGAACAGAGCAGGACTTTCGCCAAAGGGAATGCACCAGTTAAGGTGGATAACAAAATGGTTTTTAGTAATTTAATGTTGATGCATGTTCTTGCCCTGTAGTTTTTAGAGGTTTCGACAATCTTCAACACAAGACTGTACACGCGAAAAAAGGGTGTTTATGATGTCAACACTTGCTTCTAGGTCGTGGGCTCCCCAATGCTAATGCCACTTCTACTTCATCACAGTCTAACTCAACATCATAGGTTGCGAGGAAAATGTCTGGAAAAAGAAGACGCGCCTACTCCATCTGGGACTGGGAGCAGGAGCTCCAGTAGTTCGACGATATGAGGAGGCGGGACATTTTTACTGCGGCCAGTCCACACAGGGACTGAACAAGCGATGAAGCTCCAGGAGAAATTTGTTCGAGAGTAAAAATTTGAATCGAATTAGTAGATTAGCAGCCCTGCTGCCGCTTCTATTTTATATTAATTCTTCTAACAACATGAAGATGAAATATTCTTATTCATCAAGAACATCTTGTCCGTAAACGTAGTACAATCCTTTCAAATTTTTTGTTGACCTTCGATCAGCATTTCCAAGAACATTAGGTGTTAGTTGTTGGTCATTCATCATTAACTAACCCTAACGAACAACAACTTCTCCTTTGCGTTTTAGTTCAACATCAAGCAAGGAAAATGAAAGACCTCACGCTCACTTTTCACCAGCCAGGAACCTGTAGTGTAGAATGCCATAGAACAAACACCCAAAAGAGCGCTGGTTAAGGAAGTTATGGTAGAAAGATGCTCAATTTGTGGCTTGGAGATGAAGGGTAAAGATTCTTTTCCTGCTAGCCATAGAATTGAAATACGACCACATCCTCATAACTTATATTAACGTAAAAGATTGAGATTGAAGATTAGGGAACAGGTCTATGTCTGTATTTGCTTGTAGGTACCGAGCTGCATCTCGCTTCGTGGTCGCGCCGTAGTTAAATGTTTGCACGCGTCTACTTAGACAGTAGGACAACAAAAACGAGGCCCAACCTGCATCACGGATATGAGTGAATGAATGAAGAAAAGGACGCCCTCTACTATTGTGTACTTAGCTTGTATAGAAACAACTTGGTTTCAGCCTGCGTTTTTTACAGTAAATGTAATGTCCTCAAAGTTTGCATTTGGGTAGTTTCCAAATTACTATTGGCATTGTGCTACAAAAAAACTCTAGACAGTGATAGGCACTTCAGGTAGGAGATTGCATGATGATTTTTGTTTGTCGGCAATGCCTCCTTGAATATTTTTGTGCCTGTTTCTCATTTGCAGAATCAATTGTTCGCGTCTCGTACAGTCCATGTACATTGATTGGACAAGAATTGAAAAATTCTTCTTCTTGTCAATCGAAGAGACGATTGAAAGGATATCTTTTGATATCATACAAACATGTACTATATTTAACTAGGGAAGTTGCTCCTCTGGACCCCACGTGGCAAATATAGTGGGCTAGGAAGTTCCTCTTTACTGCAGCAAGATTTTTTTAGCTTCCTTGACTATTTTGAAAACGAGAAAGAGAGAAGAAAAACACTCAAGCAGCTGGAAAGTTTCAAAGAGTTGCAACGTCGAACGTGAACGAGAAGAAGAGTGAGCGCTGTTTTTTGTTGTTGTTGCATTTTCTTAAGATGTGAAAGCCTTTACGCGTGTACAGTAACCCGAGGCCATACCTGGCTCAGCCCGCCAGAGTAGCAAGCCAAGCCACGAGCCCGAGAGGACTCGCCGCTGCCGTTTCCGCCGCGAGCCCGATTCGGCCCCGTCTTGCATGCTTCGGACAAATCAGCCTCGCGAACCCGAGCCCGAGCCTGGTCTCGCGAGCGCGGCTCCTTGCGGGCCCGGCCCCGTGCCCGCCCAGCTCCGTGCGGGCCCGGCCTTGTGTGGGCCTGGGCCATAACGTGCCCCGCCCCGTGCGAGCCCAGCCGGCATCGCCGGCTCCGTGCGAGCCCGAGCCGGCCCCGTGTGAGCCCAGCCCCGTGCGAGCCCAGCCATGTGCGAGCCCAGCCCTGTGCCAGTTGAGGTGGGCCCCGTGCGAGCCTGTCCCCGCGCGAGCCCGGTCCCGCCGGATCTGTGCGAGCCCAGCCGGCCCCGTGTGAGCCCAGCCCCGTCTCTTCGAGCCCAGCCCCGTGCGAGCTCAGCTGGCCCCCTGCGAGCCAAGTGGGTCCCGTGCGAGCGTGGTCCCATGCGAGTCCAGCCGGCCCCGTGCGAGCCGAGCGGGCACCGCGGGAGCCAAACGGGCTTCGTGCAAGCCCGGCCCCGTGCAAGATCAGCCGCGTGTGAGCCTGGTCCCGTGCAAGCCCAGCCGTGTGTGAGTCCGGGCAGGCTCGTTTGAGGCCTGCCCCGTGCGAGCCCGGCCCCGTATGAGCCCGGCTCCGTGTGAGCTC